TTTGGAATTCTGCATGGCAAATTTGTCTCTTCGCTCCCCCTTGTTTGTCTATTCAACCATTTATAACAGCAAGGACTCAGGGGATTTATTTTATACTTTTGGTTATAATCTAATACTACTTTATTTTATTACTCAATTTCTTCCACTGTTTACCATTGGGTGCTCCTTCAGCTGGCTCCTGGGCTTCTCTGAAATGCTCCATCAATGTGGTTTCTTGTTTGTTTGTTTGAGCACTTACTTTTTGACATTACAAGATGTTCCAGATTCATCTTTTATATTTCTCATCCCAATCCCAGAATCAGCATTTCTCCAAGGAGCCCAGGCTCCTTTTATTGGAGAAGGGAATTAGAATCCATTATCTGGTGACTGGGTACGCTTGTTGCTTTTGGATTGCTGCTTCTGGGCCCTCTCAGCTGACAGAACAGGAAGATGTGTGCATTTGTGTGATGTTTTCACCCGTCTGTATATTGTCACATGTGAGCTCATTTGGGGGTCTTCAGCTCTAATCCACTGACACCTGGATCATTCCAGACTCTGCCACCTGTTCTGTGGTATTCTCGTGTACTGGTGTTTGGAGAGTCAGCTTGGGTGGACAGACTCTCAGCCTCCCCTGGATGTGGAGTTGAGGCAGGGAAGGATAAGAGGTACATTGACTCATGATTCCCAGCTGGGAAGTCTGCCTGCCCTTGCTCCCAACTGCAGGACTGTGGCCAGAAACAATTCAGGCTCCTTGACCCGGAGACCAAGTTCCAGCAGTGTTGGGGAGGTAGCTGTCAGCTGTGAAGTTCACAGGCAATTGAACTGCTTCCCTGCAGAACATTCCATAAGGCCCCCCATGCTCATTTCTTCCTCCTCCTCACAGGCCAAATGCAACCACTGCTGGAAGACCCAGGCAACAGGAGAGGTATCATCAGGAAACTTTGTGCGTGCATGGGGGGTACATGTCCCCAAAGTTGGCAAGCTGTGCTGACACATCACACAAAGCCTGTGAGAAAACGAAGGCTCTGGAAGCAACCCTGAGAAAATCTGAACCCAGGGAGAGCATAAAAGGCACTGAAAAAGAAGACTACAAGTAAACTTGAAATAGAGTAGTGACTCTCCAATGAGGGGCTTCAGCTAGAGTGAAACTGCAAAACAAAATGTGAAGAGGTAGTCTTTGTCCTGCCTCTTGTTCAAAATGACCTGCTTCTCTGAAAAGTCCCAACTACACTGAGGAGGCAACAGGAGAGGTATCATCAGGAAACTTTGCGTGATGGGTAACTGTCCCCAAAGTTGGCAAGCTGTGCTGACACATCACACAAAGCCTGTGAGAAAACGAAGGCTCTGGAAGCAACCCTGAGAAAATCTGAACCCAGGGAGAGCATAAAAGGCACTGAAAAAGAAGACTACAAGTAAACTTGAAATAGAGTCGTGACTCTCCAATGAGGGGCTTCAGCTAGAGTGAAACTGCAAAACAAAATGTGAAGAGGTAGTCTTTGTCCTGCCTCTTGTTCAAAATGACCTGCTTCTCTGAAAAGTCCCAAGCTACACTGAGGCGTTGGATTGGCCCCCTGGAGCCTTCCTGATGAAATCGGTGGCACTGTAAAAGTATTTGGTGTGGCTCTGCTCACAGAACAGGGGTCCAGATCTTCCCTATCCACTATACTTCAGGACAGGGCTGTGCCTGTGAGTTTGGGGCAAGCTACACCACCTCCCTGCTCTGGATGTCCCACCCTGTGAGCTGCAGAGAGGCCTGGAGCCTTTCTGTCTGTGGTCTGTGGGTCTGCAGAGCTGACCTGAGTGTTTCCTCAGCACTAAGTAGCCCTTCCAGGGATCTGTGAGGCCCTTGTGTAATCTGATCCTGAGTGTCAGGTATCTGTTGGCACATGAGCTGTCCTTTGCAGACTACCAGAGCAGGAAGGAACCCATCAGTCTTCTGTGATTCCCTGCATCTCTCTGTATGTAATTGGAACACATGGTTTTGTGTCCCTTCCCCATCCAAGAAATGTGGCTTCTTATCCAAATTCAGGAGGAAGAACAAAGCCAGTGCTGTGGTGGTTCTGGGAAGGAGGCATGGGCCACCAGAGACAGCTTTCCGTGTGTGTGTGTGTGTGTGTGTGTGTGTGTGTGTGTACACACACACTCAAGTTGCAGAATCCCTTCACGAGCTCCTCTAGTCCCCATGAGAACTGGTTGGAATCTCTTCTGGTGCTGGTTGATAATTCCACCTATAAAACTCATAGGGCCGGCAAGGCTTACTCCATGGATATCCCCTAATGATGGCTTAAGAAAACACATTGCTCTTCAATGCTGAGAGATATTCATTTCTCTTATTTTGTGACTCAGAGACTCAGATAATAACTATCTTTATGGAACACAGTGTGATGCATACATCGTGCATTGATCAGCTCGGAGTTTGTAGGCTACCCATCTCGAGCGTTTCTTGTGTTTCTGCGTAGGATCACTTGAAACGCTCTCTTCTGGCTGCTCTGATTATCCCATACAATATGATTCTTTGAAGAGGTGCCATAATCAGAAGCATGGGTTTGATGTAATTATGTGCATGGTAAAAATAATACCAACCCACGCTGCCAACAAATGCAGTCAACTTGTCTTACTTGCCAGGCTGGCTTGATCTCTGGCCTCCTGTTCGCTTTCCAGCTTTAAAAAGGAAAGACAATGGCACAGGAAGAGGCATCAAACCTTGGAAAATTAGCAAGACTTCTTTAGAAAATCTCCTAACGCTCTTGCGGAGCGTAGTTTAATGGTTTATAAAAAGTGAGTGATGGTGGTGTTAGTGTGAGAGGGAAACAGTGATGGCTTCAGGCGGGTTGAGGAGCTGTCACTCTGGAGCAGATCTAGATATCTGACTGTGTTTAAACCTCTACACTGACTGACGAGAGTTCTGCAGACAGAGCTTTATTGAATCATTCTTAAATCTACTTAGGAAGAGAAAGGGCTGCTCTGTTCTTTTTTTTTTTTTTTTTTTTCATTTTT